GTACCCGCCTTGGCTTTGGCCCCTCACACCCCCAAAGGTTCTGATTCAGGGAACGTGGCCAGCTCAGGCCACGCACCCTTGGACGGCCACATCTGGGGTTCCCTTGCTCCCGCTCCAGCCTCTGCAAACACACTGCAGCCCTGCAGCCGTGAGGCCAGGCACCTGATCACGGCTTTCCCCTGCTGAGGGCCAGCACCCTAGGATCGAATCCAGAGCCCTCCCCATGGCCCTAGGCCCTGGTCTCACCCTGCCCATTCTCGCCCTTGGCCGCCGAGGTCCACCCACTCCCCATTCCTCACGTTTGCCCCTCGGCCATGCACGTGCTGCTGGAGGTTTGCCTGGTGGTTCCCTCCAACCCTCCCTGTGCGTCTGTCATCGTCCCTCCGCTGTCTCCTTCATGGCACTGAGCACCATTTAATGACTCTGCTTGATCATGACTGTCTGCTCATCTCCCTCACTGCAACACCAGTCCTCAAGGGCAGGCACCCCCTCGGCCTCGCAGGCCTCTCCCTGGCACCCCACCCAGCACAGGGCCTGGCACACAACGGGCTCACCATAAAGATCCGAGGAATAAATGAATACAGAACTACATCTGGAGACAGGGCATCTGAACATCCCCCACTTGAACTCGGAAAGTAGACCAGCAGGTTACAAGGGCAGGACACGTGGGGGGGGCGGGGCATAAGCACATGGTGTTTGCAGGATGGGCGTAATAGAATATCCTTTGCTTTCGCAAAGAAACAGCCTCTTTGATGTCTTTTTTCATGAAACTCCAGGGCATCTTTGGCTAGTTTATGTTTTCCTACTTTAGTCCAAACACATGGTTTGGAGAAGTCGTTCCGTTTTTTCCCCTACGAGATGACAGAAAAATCAAAAGTTCAAGCACCAGGGTAAATGGTAATTGATGCTAGCTTCCATACGGGGAATACAACAGGGAGGAGTGTGGACTGTGGCAAACAGGGACCCAGACCTACCAGACCGGCTCATGTTTTGTCTTATTTCATTTTTTTAAGTAGACTCTATGCCCAACGTGGGGCTTGAGCTCATGACCTTGAGATCAAGAGTCACCTGCTCTACTGACTGAGGGGCACCTGGCTGGCTCGGTTGGTGGAGCATGTGACTCTTAACTCGGGGTGGTGAGTTCAAGCCCCACATTGGGCATAGAGCTTACTTAAAAACAAAACAATAGACTGCCTAGTATTTTAAATAAACCAGAAACTCAGTTTTTCATGAGAATCCCCCATTTAAGAAACCCTACATTGACAGAGCTATTCACATCAGAGTGCCGGATTCGGCACTGGGGGCCACCAGTTTGTAACCACTGATCTAGTCCACATGCGGTTAAATGACCCAGGTGTTTTCTCCACCATCATCCTCTGCTCACTCAAGCAGAGACCCTGGGCCTGAGAAAGTGCTGGCTTGACTTCCTTCCATCCAGGCCATGAACCTCACAAGCCTGTCCTGTGTCCCAACAGAGGAACCAAATAGGATTTTGAAACAGCCTGGCCAGGAATTCACCCGTGGGTGGGTATCAGCGCTCAGCCATTCGGGAGTGCCCTGAGCGACCTGACCCATAAATCAGAGCGCAGCCAAGAGGCAAACGTCTCTCTCTCTCTCTCTCTGCCATCTGGAGACTGCCCTGAAACTCCCCCCTGAAAGAGGAAGTTCAAACCAGAAAAAGAGAGAAAGTAAAACACACAAAAAAACTGGTTGAACAGAATACCCTAAAGGCACCGGAAACAGTAAAACACTCACCTGCCCACGGATGTCGGCATGCTACCTTGCAGCAGCGCCTGGATCCTGGGAGACAGACTGCAGTCCTGGGCACGGCTTCTGCCCTCCTCGCTAGCCACACCTCCCATGGCTCCCCCTCCTACCTGCTCTCCTATCCCGAAGGGCACCCTGCCTCGTCCTACCCCAGGGCCTCTGCAGGTTTTGTTCCCTCTGCCTGGGTGATTTTTCTCCTCCTAGCCTGGCCAGGTCTCATTCACACTTTAGGGCTCAGCCTAAAATGCTGCCGCCTCAAGGAAGCCCTCCCTGACTGCACCCCAACAAAGTCAGGTCCCTGGGCTTCCTCTTTCTTGCACATTCCTCAGTGGGTACCACTCAGGTCTCTGCTTCCCTGGAGAGACCTTGCCCGCCCCCCGTCTTGCCGTCTCACACTGTTACCCTCTACCACACCACCGCGTCACCATCTAGAGCTTTTGTGTGTGACGTGTCTACGGTCCGACGGTGTCCTGAGAGCAGGGGCCCTGCGTGTTTCACTGCTGTCCCCAGCTCCTGGCACATACGTAGTAGAGGTTCAAGGTGTTGAACGCAGCAGGCCCATTCACTGGGAACCCCCAGGACACCCCTAGGACTGGAGTCGGCTGGTATGAGATCCATTTAAAAACCAGAAGTGGCCCTGGGAGAAGGGCCCAGCTGTCCAGGCCTGTTCCCAAACCAGATCTCCCTTCTCTAGCTCATTGACCCATCTGCAAACAGCCTCAGCACGGGGACCCACTCATGAATTAAACTTTAAGTAGACGTTGCAAGTGACTCTGCTCCAGCAGTTTCTGCTTCTTCTGGTAAATAAACATCAGACAGTGCTCTAAGTGGGTTTATTGCTGCACGGTGCTACAGGGAGCTGGGCTCTTCATTACATCCCTCACAAATGAGTGTGAGCGAGCCCGTGTCTGAGTTAAAGAGAGCCCCAAGTGAGAAAATGAAGTTAATACACGCAGCTTCTCTTGAAGGCTGTCCCTAATAGAGACAAAATGAAGCTGAGGTTCAGCCACTGGGCACAATGACATCTCTCTGCTGAGAGCAAGGGAGAGAAGGAAGGAGAAAGACGCTCACGTTCCTTAAACCAGTGAAAAACTGTAGACAGGCTGCCTGGGTGGCTCAGTTGGTTAAGCGACTGCCTTCGGCTCAGGTCATGATCCTGGAGTCCCGGGATCGAGTCCCGCATCAGGCTCCCTGCTCAGCGGGGAGTCTGCTTCTCCCTCTGACCTTCCTCCTTCTCATGCTCTCTCTCTACCATTCTCTCTCTCTCTCAATAAATAAATAAAAATCTTAAAAAAAAAAAAAAAGAAAAACTGTAGACAACCTGAACGCCCGTCCCTGGGGGCAGAGGTCATAAATTATAGTCCCTCCAGCGGATGGCCCTGATTCTGTGAGGGCCTCCGTTTCCTCAGCTATAAAATCGACCTAAAAACCTCCTGGCCACTGGGTCACTGGGAATAGGGCTTGGCACACTTGCTAGGACATAGTATGTGCCCAGGAAACAGGAGTAATTATTACTTCTTTGTGGGACACTAGGAAGATAAAGAATGATAGAGACCTGCACTCTCCAACACGGAAGCCACCAGCCTCACAGGACTATTGAACACTTAGAATGTGGCCGGTCCAAACGGAGATGTGTTGTAAGTTCAATATAAAAGTCTGATTTGGGGGTGCCCGGGTGGCTCAGTCCGTTAAGTGTCCAACTCTTGATTTCGGCTCAGGTCATGATCTTGGGATCGTGAGATCAAGCCCCAAGACGGGCTCTGGGCTGGGAGTGGAGTCTACTTAAGATTCTCTCTCCTTCGCCCTCTGCCCTTCCCCCTCCCCATCTCTCTCACTTTCAAAAATAAAAAAATAAAAAGCCTGATTTTGAAAACCTAGTACCAAAAAAAGGTAAAAATCTCGTTAAAAATTTTTTACATTGATTACATGTTAAAATGATTGACATTTTGGAGGCACAGTTACTTTAAGTATATTGAGACTAATTTCACCTGTTTCTTTTTCCTTTTTTATGTGGCTCCCAGAACATTTCAAATTACGTGAATCGCTCATATTTGTGGCTCAGATTATATTTCTATTGGACAGCTCTTATGGATACATTCTGACATGAAAATATGTCCATGCTATTTTGTAAAATTGAGATGTAATTCACATATCATAAAATTCACCCTTTAAAAGAGTACAGTCCTGTGGTTTTCAGTATATTCACAAAGTTGTGCAACCATCACCACTAATTCCAGAACATTTTCATCACCCTGAAAAGCCCTGTACCTCATCATCAGCAGTCACTCCCCATTTGTCCATGCTATTTTGAGTGGAAAAAAGCAACTTGCAGAACAGTATTACAGTACCAAGTGGGGTTTTACAAAAAATAACACACAGTATTATTAATATATATGCATACCCACGTTTGGAAATGCATTTTTTAAGTGTCTGTAATGAGGTGCACCACATTGTTGGTGATGGTTATCTCTGGGGACTGGAGTTGGAGACGCAGAGAAAGAGAGGGTGCTCACCCTTTATTGGCTGTACTTCCGTCCTGCTTTTGAGATTTAAAAAGAGAATGAGTTGAATTCAAGCCTTAAATAACTCCTGGCGGACTTGGATAAATAACTTTTTTCACGGCACTGTTAACAGACTAGCTTCAGCTGGAAGATGAAGGGCCTAGTTTCAGATCCACTTTTTATTCTGTGCTTTTAAAATAGCAAGTACGGATAGAGACGAGGTATTTTCCCTCTTAGCAACAGCAGGACCAAGGCCCGGGGCTTCCCCGCACAGACGCAGCCTGCCCGCCTACTCCCGGGCCTCTGGCACCCGGCTTGGAGCCGAGAGGGCTGAGCGCCCGGCCGGGGCAAGACCCGGGGCCGGCCTCCCCAGGGCCCCGCCTGACAAAGGGCAGCAGCTCCGAGCGCGCCTCGCTCCCCCGTCCCCGCTGATGCTGGGGGCCCCGGTCGGGGTGCGACGCGAGTCTGGGTCCCCGGGGGCCTTGTCGGCTGGAGGAGGGAGAGGCGCGACCTGCCGCGTATCTCTGGGTGGCGCCAGGCATCACCTCTCCGCAAAGGAGGCGGCCCTCGGTCCCCTGCGCCGGGTGCGAGAGGATGCGGCGCGGACGCCAAGGGTTCGGGTCCCGGAGCTCCGGAGGCCGCACCCACCCTTTCCTGCCCCGGGGTGCGAGGGCCCAGACCCCCCCCAACCCCGAGACCCGGCTTCCCCTACTGCCATCCCCGGTCCCCTACCTCGGCCCCGGGCTCGGGGGTCAGGAAGAGCGCGAGCTCGCGCGCCCCGCTGCGCACGGGCTCCGGCCGGCCGGCGTCCACGAGCAGCATCAGGAGCGCGACGGGGTCCAGCTGGCGGAGGCTGCCGGGGAGCCCGGGGCCGCATCCCGGACTCGGAGCCCCGCCCCCGACCGGCTGCATGCCCCGTGGCCCGCCTGGAGGAGGCGGGGCAGGTGCGCACCCGGCCACGGCCTCGCGCGCCTCCCCGAGCGCCGGGCCGAGTGGGCAGCGCCACCCAGTGGCGCGCGGCGCTCACTGCGCCCGGCCCTCACACCACCTGGTAAAGCAAAGCTTCTCAAACTCGCCTGCAGATTGCAATCACCTGGGACCCTTAAAACCTCCAAAGTCCCGCTCACGCACAGTCTCTAGGGTTGGGACCTGGGCACCAGTATTTTCTGAAGTTCGCCTGGTAATTCCAACATACAGCCGAGTTTGAGAACCGCCAGTATAGACCACCCCTTTTCATTGGAATCCGGGCGGAGCCACGGTTCCCAGCCCCCACAGCACTTCAGAATGCCCCGGGGAGCTTTCAAAAGCCCGGAAGCCAGGCCTCACCCCGGCCGATTCAGCCGGAATCCCGGGGGTGGGGCTTGGGCATCAGTAGGTGTTAAAGCTCCGCGGGTGATTCCAGCGTTCAGGATAGAGAACGGCCGTCCAGGGGATCCTTTCGTTTAAAGACCAAAGCGCCCGCCCCCAAGGCCGCCCTAATTCCAGCGTCTTGTTTGCGCCAGGAGGAGAGTCCTGGGAATTAGGGAAACCGGGTGTAGTGGTCCTTTTCCTCCCAGGAGCAGCTTTTAAAATAAACTCCCCAGGGGATTCGTAAATGCTCTAAATTTGACCCACCTCCCCCCCCATACACACATACCCTGGGAGGCTTGTGTAGACCCAATGAGGAAATCCGAATGAGGAAAATCCTAAAAATGGTGAAGAGGTATAGGGAAGTCTAGAGTTCTAATTCTTCCTATGACGTCTTTTTTTTTTTTTTTAATGTTGCATTCGTGGAGCAAAATCAGGCTGGGCTTAGGGTTGTAAATAAATATACGCCACGCCCCGCGTTCCTCGCTCCCCCCCCCCCCCCCCCCCCCCGGCCCCCGGTTAAATCTAAATGTAGAGTTTATCTGACAACCCTCGGTAGGGGGCGTAAGCACATGCTCGATCCGTCTTGTGGGTGAGCTGTCACCGTACGATTTGTACAATTCCCACTTCCACATCTGCTTCCCGCTCATTTCTCCATATCTCTGCCCAAACATTCGGGCCCTCAGGTCAGGGTCGCTTTCTGGAAAAATCTTGTCAAAAGATTTGGGCCACAGGTGGTTCGTTAAAGGACTTGATAGGAACTCACGGAACCTGAATTTGGCCGTTCATTACCGTCGTGGTTTTCCTGATGTTCAGAGCCCTGCCTCTCATCACACAGACACCCAGGAACCAAGCCCAGACCCTCACCCCTGCAGGTGGGCTCGGACCCTCTCTCAGAAAAGCCCAGAACTGAGTTCAGATGACTTCAACGAACTTCCCCTGGTGGATGAGACTCACAAACATAATGCTAAGAAGAAGAAGGAAAAAAAAAAAAAAGACAAGTTGCAGAAGGCTCCGTAGGGCACGCTGCCATTAACATAAAGTTTTAAAAACATGCAAAACCACACTGTATATTGTGTATGGATGCGGCCATATGGAGTACAAGTGTAAGGCGGCGCCTGGGAACGATGCGGGCCACATTCAGGAAAGCGGTGGGGGGAGGGGATGGAGAGGGCTTACGAACGGGGTTTCGATTATATTTGTAACGTTTTCTCTCTGCGGCTGATGTTTGCTGTCAGAGTTAAACCTACTGAATGCCCAAAATGACTCATTAAAAGGAAGGCAAATAGGGGCGCCTGGGTGGCTCAGTCGGTTATGCATCTGCCTTTGGCTCAGGTCATGATCCCAGAGTCCTGGGATCGAGTCCCACATTGGGTTCCTTGCTCAGCAGGGAGCCTGCTTCTCCCTCTCTCTCCCTCTGCTTGTGCTCTGTCAAATAAATAAGATCTTTTTAAAAATAAATAAATAAATAAAAGCAAGGCAAATAAAAGGCCTGGGATATTATCTAAAAGTGCCGATTGCTCAGACCCCCTTGCCCAGGAGCTAGGGTATCTGGGGAAGGATCTGTGCTCTCACCAGCCTCTCAGGGATTTCTACCCTGGGCTGAGTTGGCTAGCCAACAGTCATTTTGCTGTCAGGATTTTTTTTCTTCCCCCTAAATGTGTGATTATGCCTTAGAAACATTTTGCTAAAAATACAGATGCCCGGAGCCCTCCCCCAACTTTCTGAATCAGAATCTCTGGGGAGCTAGGCATCTGCCTCTTAACAGCTCTGCGGTTGATTCTGATGCACGCCAAAGTCTGGGAATGACCCCTATTTAGGGGCTCCCTCTTGCTGTGGGCATTACCCAGGGGACCCCTGTGGGAGGCCACATCCATGGTTTTCAACAAAGGGGACCAACTGTAAAACTCTCCGGGCCTCTCAGTGGTCCTTGGCTGTGCCCCAGCACCCTGTCCCCGGTCCCCAGCTCTTGGGGAGACCCAGGGGCAGGCAGCAAGCCTGAGGCCTGGCATGCAGCCTGCCAGGGCCGCACCCTGCCCAAACCAGTTTGAACCAGCTGCAGGGATGGAGCCGTGGCGTGTCCCCAAGAGCTCCCTCTGGCGCCCAAGCCCGGCTCAGAGCTGCGCCTCTGGTCTCCTGCTTGAGTCCTCCGCGGGTGCAGGCAGCGGGCTCTCTCCCAGCCTGGGTGTGGGGGTGTCAGTGGCTGCCAGGCCGGCAAGGCCCCCTGGAGCCATATTAGGAGTCCCTTAGCTGGGCCCCAGGGTCACACACCCTGCCACCTCCCCCCACCCCCATCCGGCGTCACCTCCAGCTACAAAATGGTTGCCTGTTTGTGTCTTTTCAAGGTCAATTCTCCCAGTTCAGGCCTCAGGCGTACAAGGTTCTAGATAAGCAATGGTTCCCAAGCTTGGCCACACGTTGGAAACTCCTGAAAAGGTTCCAGAAAATACGGATGCCCAGTCCCCACCCCAGAGATTGTGATTTAATTGGTCTGGGGTGTGGCTTTGGTTTGGGGACATTTAAAAGATCCCCCCCCCAAGTGACTCTGATCTGTCCTATTCCAGTGCTTGCTTAACTATGGGGTGCTGGTGACCCTAGGGTCCCTCCGTGTCTACAACAGTCCTCGCGGCTACTGTGTCCAGAGGCGCTATTCACAGAGGTGGCCCCACTGAATCTCCACCACACTCTGAGAGGTAGGTGGGCCTTGCTATGAGCCCATTTTACAGATGAAGAAACTGTGACAGAGAGGTTAAACCGCTTCCCCAACATCATAACTAGTATAAGCAAGATCCAGGATTTAAACTCGGACAATCTGATTCCAGAACCCAACTCCCAACCGGCTTCTCACACCATACTGCCTCCTGCAAGATAACCCCTTTGGGTTCCTGTTGCTGCCTCCCTACTCATAGCCTGGACTGTTAGGAAAGCCTTGCTGCCCTGCCCCTGTGCCAACCCACCCTCTTCACTGCCCTCCCTCTACAGCACATTCTAGCCATCTCCCTTCTTGCTCTTAAACCTTCAGTCGCTCCCCAGTGCCCACCGAGTGAAGGTCAAAGACCACACCCCTGGCCCTGCCTTGCCAATCTGTTTTCACTGCTATTCTCTTTGGACCCTAAATGACAAATGGGGTCCCACGGAGCAGGGCCAGGACCCGGGGGAGGCAAGAGAGGCATGTGGAGTACAAACTATAAGGGGACCTCGCTCTCGGGGTCTCCTCACATTCCGTGCCCTGGGTGTCTTGTTTGCCTTACCTGAGTCCCGTCCCTCCCCAGATTCCTTCGTTGAACCTAATCCCCAAGGTTAGGAGGTAGGGCCTGTGGGAGGTGATCGGGTCATGAGACTAGAGCCCTTGTGAATGGGATTAGTGCCCTTATAAAGGAAGCCCCAGAGAGCTCCCCTGCCCCAACCCTTCCACCACATGAGGACACGTTGAGAAGTCCACAACCCAGAAGCAGACTCTCACCAGACACTGAATCTGCTCATGCCTTGATCTTTCCAGCCTCTGGAACCACTAGAAATAACTGTTGTTTATAAGTCACGGTCTGTGGGATTTTGTTAGAGCAGCCTGAATGGACTAAGATGTCTGCAAACGTGTTTGGTGTGGACAACATCATGTTTAAAGATGTGTATTTTCTTAAGATGTATTTATTTATTTTAGAGAGAGCTCGTGGCGCGGAGGGGCAGAGGGAGAGGGAGAGAGAATCTCTGGCCGATTCTGCGCTGAGCGCGGAGCCCACGCGGGGCTCGATCTCACCACCCCGAGATCACGACCTGAGCCCAGACCACGAGTTGGGACGCCTAACGCCCTGCGCCACCCCGGCGCTCGGACAGGCTAGTCTTTCACAGTTCATGTGGACATTCAGATTCCTGGCTTCTCCTGAGAAGAGGGGAGAGATCAGGAAACCAAGAGCCTGCACTGGGGCAGGCCAGTACTTGGCCAGTGAAGGAGCTGCCCCAGTCTGCCAGTCTTCCGCGCCTGGCCCCCGTCCCTAGCTGACCTGTTGGCCCCTGAAGGTGTCCGAGTTTCGGACCCCGGGGTCCCCTGGACGTGGCCCCCCCATCTGCATCCAGCATTTCCAGTCTGCAACACCCTACCTTCCCCGGAGCAGCCTCCGTCAGCCTGCAAGGACCCGTGTTCCGACCCACAAGCAAATGTGCCCCTTGGGCTTGCTTCCGGAGACCTTCCACCTTCTAAACTGTAAATCTGCCCCCAGAGAGCAAGTTCCTGGAGGACAGAGAACATGTTTCATGCAGTTGTTTTTTTTTTTTTTTTCTGTTTCGCTGTGGGGGTCCAGCAGGCTGCCTTTGCACTTTGGAAGACCTCAATAAACACATACATGTAAAATTTGAACTCACTCTCCTGCTTAGCGTCTCTATTGTCCACTAGCAGACTAATTTAGAACACAACCCCTCTTCAAAGAAGCACATGGAAAAACCAGGTTTTGAAATCGTCATTCCGGAGGGGCGGGACACAGCAAGAACACGGTCCCATCCTTTCCCTGCAAAGGAAAGCTTCGAATTCTCTGCAGTCATTCGATAGCGGTTTTTTTTTTTTTTTTTTTTTT